TGGGGGACAGGGCTGGATTTGTCACACAGCCTGCTCTCAGTGATACCCACCCCCCCCTCCCCCCACCATCAACCTTAACCACCCTCTATTTGGAGTAATTTAGATCTGATGCTTTGAGCCAAGCCAATGCTGGCCATGATCAAAATCATGACTTGAATAGTTCACAGTCCACATGTGGTTCTGGCAGTATGAGCTGATTCCCTTGGGCAATGACTTTCAGGTTTTTGTGTTTTTGGCTTTTTGTTTTGTTTTTTAAAAGGAATGATTTTATTTCCTCACATTTATTAGCATTCAGATCTACTGTAGAGTGCTTGTTTCCTCTGCATTCCTCCTGGTGCAATTTCTGGAACCACCTTCATTGCTCCCATTTCTGTCTGTGTTTGTAACTAGCTTCAACCAGCCATGGTCAAACCACACCCCATATGACTGCAGACCATGGAACATGCAACTGCATCAAGCCCTCTTGCTAAAGCAGTGGTTTGTAATATGGTTGCTGGTTAATTGTTTGTCTGAAAATTCCTATCCACAAGAGACACCGAAATAGTGCTAAAAGGCAGGCTAGATCCAAAACATTAGGCGATGTTTGTGCTGCAGAGTTCTGGACAGCATAGCTCTGCCGAAAAATGCAATCCCAAACCAAAGGAACAATGCCAGCAGCAGCTACTAATGTGAGGACACAGCACCTTTACCTGTTTCGTGGACTGAAGGTGGAATGGCATCAAGACACCCTACTAATAAGTCTATACTTTGTCCCATCAAATGGGACAAAATCCTCCTGAGGTCCAGTAAAGATCTCTTAATGTAGGAACTGCCTTAAGGATTATCCAACTAACATCGTGTTCAATTTGGGCTTACAGGGCTCTGGCTCCAGTTTCCCAAGGAATGTGGGAAGGCAGGGGGAAGAGATCGGGAAGGACAAGTGCAATGAGTCAGTCTTTGGAAACCAAGCTAAGGATTTGACTCTAGTTACTTCATTTACAGGCTGGTTCTAGACCTGCAGCCAGCGAGCACTCATGGTTTCAAACTGGAGCAGACAAGCTTGGGAGCCTGCCACTGCTGAATGTCCCCAAGTCAACTTAACAAGACGGCTAAGCTCCCTCCCTTATGCTCCCTCACAAATCTTTCCCCTGCCATTGCTAAAGACATTGGTCTCCAGCTCAGGAATCCTCTCAGCTTCCTCCTTCACCCTTGTGGAGAGCCCAGGCCAAAGACGACTTCGTCCTCGGTGCCACCGACCATCTCTCTGAGTCTATCCAGCAAGAAGCAAGGCTTACGAGAAGTCATTAGGTTCCACAAGCCTGGAGCCCTCTCCCATTTGCACACAAACTCTGGACAGCCCTTTTTCCCAGCCCTTTCAGATTTCTCCTGAATCTCTCCACCAGTTCCTCTTCCATCTCTGCTATGCAGCTTGACCTCCAATCTGCTACCCAGTTCTTCCAGCTTTCCCCACTCCATAGCTCTGTCAGACTTGACCTTTCTTCTATCCAGTTCTGCACATGGACTATCTCCTGAACTGGCCCACTCACCAACTGCCATTGAACCAGTCACAGGTGGAGTGTTTCAGGGCAGGGAGCAGAGCTGCTTCATGGTGACAAAAGGTCAGGTACTGAGTGATGAAGAGCTCAAGTCAGGAAGGAACATTTGGACAGCAAGTGGCAAGAGTCACCCAACAAGCAGAAAACCTGAAACCCAGTCCTCAATTTGGGTAAGTAACCACACTGGATGTGAATTGCTTTGTTGGAGTGGGGACAGCCACTGTCTTTGCCTTACTAAGAGCCAGCTGTGACTGAAGTTCTCACCAGTGCAGACAGGGTGGAGGGACATCCATTAATGAAGTCACCCATTTGCTAAAGTAATCCATCACAAAACTCAAGCATACAAGGAAGAAGGGAAGTTTTATGTAACAGTGTTTGAACAGACAATAAGCACAGAAAGAGGGTAAGGTGCAAAAGGTGTCCCTTTGCTTACAGTGATCATAAAGTGATAAGGCATAGGGAATGGTCTAAATTGCTTCATGAGATGGCTATGGCACTGCAGCTGGGTCGCAGTGCTCTGCAGTCAGTCAGCTTTTCTGCCATGCCGTGAGCATTGGCTCCAGAGACCTGGGCTGCCTCAAGGTCCTCTTCACAATACCTCCTCAGGCTCATAAAACAAATCTATTAATGAGATTAACTTTCTGTCAGAGCCTTTAACTTGCACTTAGCTCTCAGGCAGGACAATGGAGATCACTGTGGGATTCCCTGCCTGGTGTTGCAGGTCAGAGTAAAGTGTTGCAGCACCCTCCTCTGGTTTTGGAGAAGGGATGGGAAAATAGCTACACAACATGTACCTGCTGGGAAACTATAGAGCTCAAGAATCAAAAGTGGTTCCCACAGACAAATGTTGCTGAAAGGAGAAGAAAATTTGACTCAAGCACTTTAATTTTTGCTTTTAAACAGACACACTTCCTATTTTTTATTCCAGAAGGTCAATGCATGAGAAACATGCTTTTGACACAGATGTCACAAAAAAGACCAAATACCCTTTTACATAGAAGTCCCTAAACAGAAACCTCTAAGTGAGCTGGGAGATTACCTGCCAATTAAAATTGATTCTTTGCCCTGGAATTGCAAGGCAAATCCTCATCTCTTTTTAACCCCAGGCAATGTCCTCAGTGATATCCCACAAACAGAAAATAGCCTTCCCAGCTCTGACCACAGCTGGTTGACAAGTGTGTCCAGCATCCTCTTCTCCTCATATCTGCAGTTACCGTCAATAAACACACAAGCTTCTCACAGCAGCCTATATCCACACGGGAGCAGGCTCCAGTCCCTTCTTCCTAACTAGCACAGGCAAGGGATTTTAGTCTAAGGGACTTAGTATCAAGGTAGATTACATCAGATGAATTTACAGTCAGGGCCTGGCCTTGCTACCAGAAAGGGTCAATGCTGGGAGCAAGAATGCAGCCAATGGTGTGGACTCCGAAGCAATGTGCTGGAGTGGAGCAGAATGGCTTTTAAAGTAGGTACGTTGCAAGATCAAGGAAAAAAAATTAGTAATTTATCTACATACAGAGAGCCTTGAATTTCAAGAGGTTTTTTCAAGAAACCCAGAGCATCTCAGTGTAAGAAGGAAGACAAATTGCTTGGGAGCTTAAATGAGGTGAGGATGCTCCTGAGAAGGTGGCAGGCAGATGTGAAGCTCCTGCCAAGAGGAACAGAAAGCAGCAAGCCATTCAACTGTCAGGAGATGCACCACATTTTACCACTAATCACCACAAAAGACCCTCTAGGAAAAGGTGCCTTTTCCATCCACTGTGGCGAGCCAACAGCACTAAGGAGTACCCATTTGTTCCCCCAGCCCCTTCCCAACTCTGCCCCACTGCACAGCTCTCCTGCTTTGCTCCTCCAGGCTTGTCCAGCCTCATGCTCTCCAGGGTGTATTCTGCAAGGACACATACCACCTTCCCCCTTGAGGGATGAAAGACAGATGCAGAAGATATGAGAACTGGTGGTCTGCCAAGGAAACAGGTCAGTACTGTGTCAAGATGGAGCAGCAGATAACTCCTTGCAATAGTAACCAGGAGAAAGCCTAACACAACATGGTCTATCTGCAAAGGCAGTAACAGTCTTATTTTACATAAGAAAACCTAGACTGCTCTAGTCACGACTTTTTTTTTAAATTCATAGTATTGTGTAAAGAGTCATCTAACTTTTGCCCTAGCAATGTAAAAGAGCAGGCACTGCCTCATGTATGCTAAAAATATTTGGCCATCAACTGCTTTTCACAAAATCTTTTACTCCGAAATAGGAAATAATTTAGTGTTTCACATGAAGATTCATCTCCATCTCACCCTTGATATGCCCCATATCACCTCCAGGGGTATGCTGCATTTGGATGGACAAACTGGGGAGACAGTCACAAGTCTCAAGAACCTTTTGATCTGTGAGACAGCACAGTGCCAGCTTACGTGACAGGAAACATCTGGCTCCTCAGATAGAGCCTGCAGGTCTTCCTAGGGGAGCTCCATGGTCTACCAGCTACCAACACCGACCCAGCAGCCAGACACAGCTGAGGACAGAGCCCAAAGGAAGTCAGAGCTCTGCTTTGTACAAACATTGAGAAAAAGGTAGCCAGAGCAGCACCTGATTAAGCTTCATGTTCAGTGTACAAAGCTTGAGGAGCTGGGGCAGTGTCCTGAAGCAGGAGAGGATCCCAGTAACAGAAGGCAGACAGCCTTCAGCTCGTTGCTAGGCTAATGCCCTTGTTTACAACCTGGCAGAAAATAAGTGTACTTAAGTTTTAGCATAATCTGTGCCTGGAGAAGTCTGATCCTTCCAGGACCCACATGCAGGAGGTGCTGCAAAGTGACAGCCAAACTCCAACCACAGATGTGTCTGCACAAATTCTGCCAAAGGAGGAGAAAAAAAAAACGCCTAGAGAAACACACAGTGCTTGTTTATCCAGGAGTAAGAGTTAGCCTATGAGGTCAGTTATAGAGGACCTTGCCGCACTGAACCCCAGCAACTTGTCAAGCTAGGGACTGAGCAGAGTCATGTCACCCAGCCCGTGGGAGCGATGTCACACTCCGCCCAAACCACCGAGGAGCCCTTGGATACCTGCTAACTCATCCACTGGCGATGCCCTCCAGCAGCCCTTGGGGACTTGCAATGTTAAGGGCCCTCCCCAACCCAAAGCTTGCCACCCTGCTTAATTAATCTGGCCTTTTAAGATGAAGGTAGGAGGCTGCAGTTCAAGTTGAGGTCAAGCCAGTACGTGGCCACAGGGAACTGTACATGCTATAATGCTGCTTTAAGTCAACACTTAAATCAATGGTACTTCATTATTTTATATCAGTTGACAATCTGGTATATAAATGTGAAAAAATAAATGATCTTCCTTTCCTTTCCCTCTTTTTCCCATCCCGCTGCCCTCCCAGTAAGGCACAAGTATGGGACTCAATCTCTCTCGTGAACTGTTCCCAGGAAATACGCCCTCCTTCAGTGTAGTACAGACCCTACCTTGGTTGAGGTAGGTCAGGGTTTCTTCGTGCAGTTTCACAGCAGGTGATGTGGCCGTGCAGAGGACGTACTGAAAGGGAGGCAGCTTGGCATCATTCTCAGGAGACAGCTGCGGTTCTTCCTGCTTGAAGATTGGCAGCGCAAGGACATCTCTGCAACATACAATTCACACACATTTAGTTACAAAGACTTCACGGAACATTCTCACCTCAACCTGCATTTGCTTCTCATGCTCTGAGATAATGTGGATGGTCTCTGGAGAAACATCCAAGTTATGAGGGCTAAAAAAGAAAGAATTTTGCCTGTGTAATGTAACAAGGCAACTTCTACCTCTAGGATATCAGCACTAGGCACAAAAGAACATAGCATTACCAAAATAGATTATTTGAGAATTAATTTAATTTATGCTTTTAAAACATAAATCAGATTTACTTTTCAGTTAAGCAGTCTTCCTGATGAGGAAAAAAATTATCAAAAAATAGATTCTTCATCCTTATGGAAATACATTTCAGTTCAAGAGTACTTGGGTTCTCAGATGAAAGCCTTTCAGGAAAAAAAAAAAAAAGGCAAGCAAGAGCACTTTATTTTGACAGCTGAATGTCAGATTAGTAAAATGTCTACAAGTAGCAGCCAAGGGCGAGGAGCAGACACAGCTCTGGTGTAAAAAGGAGACATTCAGATAAATGATGGCATGAACTGCTGGAATGACTCATAACATCTCCTTGCACCCTAACAAACCTGGTCCTAAGGAATTGCATAACTCTTAAGAGAGCACGGGGCTACTTTCATAAATGCACACATGGGTACTCGGGAGCAGCTTCACTAGGACCCATGCACAGTCCTAGTTCTGGCTCCTTTACAAGATGTTCATGCTGACCTGCCTGCCAATTTACAGTCAAACTGATCCCAACCCAGGCTAATCCCCGAGCAGAACAGGTATTAACAAGGCTGAGAACACAACAGAATGATTAGTACAAAATGAGATGTTAGGAATAAGCATCCTTATCCTAGCATGTCTGATACTGAAGAACCACATTAGCCTTTCCCATGTTGCTACCATTTCTGATCATTGTGTCCACCTACTTAAGACATTAATATCCTTCCAAATGAGGAGGATTATGTTGAACACAGAGACAGTTTAGAAGTGATTTTTTTTTCCTCCTCCATTTCCTCCAGATGTGCGAAGACTTGAGAGTCCCATTACAGAGGCTGCTGTTCTGCTCCTTTCAGTAATCCCATACACAAAAAAGCTTCAAGAAAAACTGTTCAGGAACATGCCAGCATGTACAGGCATGCTCCCTAAGTAAAGGGCATTAAGAATTTTTTCCTTGCCTGTTCAGTTAATGATCCACCCTGCATTCATTCACAGCATCCACAACCTTGAAGGCTACCCAGGTCATCAGGGAAACGGTGCAGCAGTTTATAGCAAACTGCTGAAGTACCTGGTTCAAGCACGAGTACCCCTGTTTATGGCAAAATAAAGCCAGAGAGCAAACTGCGCCATTTCAGATACAGACAGGAGAAAACACCCGTCTCTGTTTCCATTCTCTCTTCCAACCCCACCCCCTCCATATTATCACCAACTCGAAGGCATCCAGCCCCATCTGCTTACTGGCATTACTGACATAATCACAGCTCTTGCCTAATTGCAGCCATAGAGAGAGTTTGGGTGTTTGTTTTTTCCTTAGTGATGATTTACTACTGTAATGAAGTGACAGAAATGCCTGCAGTAGATTTCTGAAATAGATAACATTGCTCCACACACGTGCAGGATCTGATACTGCTTCACAGAGTCATCTCACTCACCCTGGATGCCAACATTTGCTCTTAACACGCTCGTCTGCACAATGCTATTGGAATGCGTGTTGCTTTACAGATGAGAACAGATCAAAAACTCTGAAGCCTGAAAGCTTCTGCAGTTCTGCAAAAAACAGCACACAAAATCTGGCCCAGGTTTACCAGTTAAGGGTGAGGAATTTGTACACCTATTCAGCGGAAATGGTTGAGAAATTTACGCAAAGGGAAGTCAAAATTCAAATATCGTATTTCACATCAGGCTCTTAACACCCCTACACTTGCTGGAACAGCTGTCTGATCACTGGAGACTGAAAGCACAGAGGAATCTGATTGGGTTTCTGGAAAGCTTTGCCATATTAAAGCACTGATGAAGCCACACAAGTTAATCACAGTTTTATTCCTATAGCATTTGAACTAATGGCCAGTGACATCCGTGGCTCCGGATGAAGCTCTTCTAAAACATTTCACCTTATTAAAAGCGTTTGCAACTTAGAAGGTCGTGAGCAACAGATCAAGGCTTAAAAGAGTTTCTTAGCTATAGGTGCATATGACATCAGAATATTTGTTCAACTCTTTTCACTCAAGAGATGCAAATCAAGTTTGGAAAAAGCAGGCTTTTACAACAGTTCCCATCCTAAAAAAAAAAGAAAAAGGTGGAGACCCTTAAAAGTCTCTCAAGTTTCACCAATTATGCTAAAGCTTTACAGTTCTGGTCTTAACGAAGGGTTAGTCCACTTACCTCAGAAGGGAGAAAGTTATTTGAGACAGTACAGCCATCTGGCAGAACAGAGAATGAAATACAAACCGAGTTTGCATAAAAATTAATGAAGATTTATGAGGATTTTTCTGTAGTATTGTCTTGCTATAACTACAGATACCACTGGGGTATGGCAGAATTTACATGGATGTCTCAGATACACACAAAACCTTTGATCTCTGCAAAGTACAGTTGATATAAACTTTTCCTACAGCTACTTCAAGGTTTGTACTATTTCAGCTTCCTCTGCAAAGTTGCTACAAGTGGGTATGGAGAGCCTTCCAAGAGGTGCAGCTCAGCAGAAGAAAGCCCCTCTAGAAATGCAAGTCTTGACACATTCCCATGGAGAGTGAACTGGCCAGAATTAGAGGTGCCTATAAAAAAACCCAAGGGTTTTAGTCAACTGACCTTCCCTGAAACACCTGAGGCCATTGCTGCCAAAAAACTGGTTTTAGGGATTTTAGTCCCAGATTAAAAACACCACGGTCAGTGGCAGATACTCACTAAACCTGAAGTTTGTTCCCAAAACACTGACAGGTTACCTTCATACTAGCAACCTTCCTGCCAGATCAAGTATCCTTTATCGCCCAACTAGCATCAAGCCAGCAAAAATAACCTAATGTGTTTTCTGGCCAATTAAAAGGCATTTGAATTGTGGGCTCAAGCCTGACTCCGACTTGATGATCTTGTAGCACTTGCGCTACAAATCCATGGAGCCTAAGCACCATAGATGCTCTCTAACACAGAGACCGTACACTCAAGTACCAATGCTGGTGCTCCTTTGCTACAGCCATTCTCACCGTCCTAAACTAATCAGGTTTGCAAGCACAAAGCAAGGGAGGAGGAGACTTTAGCCACATACATGTTGTTAAAACAGACTTACTGGGATAGAGGGAAGAAGTGAAGAACCGTGTATGAAGGAGAAGCTGCCAGAAAGCAAGAATCTCATGGTATTGTATCATTTGATAAAAAAGGAAAATTATTTAGTCAAAAAAAATTGCTTCGCAAATACACTGATAGGGAGCAGGAATAGTTAAGATTGCATGTCTCCTTGAAAGGGAAGTATTATCTCTGTGCGAAGTGCTTCGCCAGACAAACTCAATGTTCTCTCAACAGTGGTTATTTGGGGTACATTTTGAAAGCAAGGCTCTTGGGCCACAGCCAGGTTCTCCACCGCTCCAATTCAGCAAAATCACACTTCAGCAGAATAGCAGCAATTGACACCAGCTGAATGCTCAGCTTTACATATTCAGAAAAAAAATAATTCATAAGCACCCAGCAGAAAGGAAACTCCCAAAGTTGTCTGCTTTGTCGTCTTTTGGAGGGAGGAAATACAAGTTCGTGCTACACATGTTACAGGCTATTGTTTAGCAGCCCTTGTGCTTAAATTAGGCACATTTAATTAAATGCAACTGTGTGGAGGCAGGAAAAAGCTGGTTTAGACAAGTTCAGAAAGTGAAAATCTAAGCTTTTTACCCATCGTCCCAAAAAGAGGGGAAAGAAATCCCATTCTGAGAAAACTGGATGCCCTCTTAGTTTGCCAACAGATGTTTTCTGCAGACTTCTGACAGTGCTTTGCAACTACCGCACCTTCTCCTTTGAACTGCACTACCGAAACCCTTGAGAAGGGAGAAACCGGCAAAAGCAATAAAGTAAAATTGCAGATAGTTGTCTAACTAGGCGCAAAAA